ATCAACATTGTTTTAGAGGGAAGGGGGCGGAAGAAGCAATTTTTTTCATAAAAGGAATGAAAGATATCAAATGCAGCGTAAATTGCTGGGTGTTCGAAGTACTTTTGGCAGGCATTGTAGTTTTAGTGCTAGGAAAAATACCGATAAAAAAGGTTCTTTCAGTAGTATCCAAAGGTCTTGATTCTACCCAAGTAGACAATTTCGTTAAATATCCCAGTAACTGCTAGCAACTTCAAGAAATAGTATCCATTCCTCATAAAAGCAATCCAGCATTCCTGAAACAAAAAATATTAGGCTTCTGGGTGTTTATTTACGTATTATTACAAGTTACGCTTTGAAAAATGCTGAAAATAATACTTATATGTGAGAATGGCTCGGTGGTAGCACAATGGACTACTGATCCGGGCCTAGCGTCTTTGGCTCGTATCCCTGCCATGACCAAACTATCATTTAGAGTGAGAAGAGTCTCCAGCTCCCTGTGAATCCAGATATGGCCACAACGAGTGAAAGGACCAGGGCACTGCTCGATAAGCATTGCTTCTCAGTGCTAAAACAACACCATCAAAAGCAAGTAGAAACAATAAAACTACAGATAGGCCGCACTTTTGTCCATTAAAAAATGTAACATTAGACGACTTATGCTTTTTATCTTTGCTTAAAGTCAACTAAAAATCTTTACGATAGCTTCAATGAGTTTTAGATTATTGTTATTGTTGTTATAGATTTAGTCACTTTATTTCCTCGACCTTTATTAGCGTGATAATTTGTGTATGGAGACGGAAGGGTATATTAGAGAAAAATGGCACCCCTAAAACTTCATTGACATCACTGTTTTAAATGACACCGGCTTATTGACCCCTCTCTGGCTCATTTTTGATGCAACTGGTGCCTATTGCGAAGATTTTTGGCATTTTTTGAGTATTAAAACAAAATTTACCAGCCCCCTTGCTAAACGGTTGTACTGTTTTCGTTTTAGGGGAAAAAGAAGAAAAAGACGAAGAAACCAGGTAACTCAATGCTAAACTTGTTCCGCTACTCCTGTTCCCGCATCTCTTCTCTTAAAGTAATATGCATTACAAGGGCTAAGTTGTTGCATATATGTGCTCCCACATAGAGCTTTTCCGTCATTAATAATTCAGCCTTGCAGACAAGCAAATGGGATATTAATTCATTTAACAAGGAAGCTTTTTTAGCGGACAAGTCCTAATAACGGTCACTTCAAATAAACGGACGAGTAATTTTTCCAATAATTTTGTTTGTGATTAAACACATTTGCCAGTATCTCCAGACAGTGGACAGGGCCCTACAATGGACAGTTGCAGTGGTCTCAAGCGCTGTCCGCTTTGTGGATGTTTTAAAAACAAATAGAGTCTTCAGTGAACAAGCTGCCATGTGTATTCTGAAGAACCTCTTCGACATATGGCGTTCCCCATCAATTTTAAATATATGTTTTGCTTTCTTGTCAATTTCAATTCATATGACAAATAGGTATTTAAAAATTATCAACTTTTGCAGCTTGCGGAGGATCTTTTACTGACGCCCAGGGGGAGCTAACAACCCCTGGTTACCCAGACGACTATGCTTCAGACTTGAGGTGCACGTGGGATATTCGAGTGGAAGAAGGGCAGAAAATTCTGCTTACCTTTGAAGACTTTGCGGTTGAAGAGGATGAAAAGTGCTCATATGACAAGCTGGAGATCAAAGAGAAGCAAGGTGTAAGTTGAATAAACATGCTTCTGTAAAACACATCAAACTATCGGCTGTTTTAGGCCTAGTTTAATATGAAAATTTGATGTTTTACTTGTGGCAATTTCTGTCAGTTTTACATCCATGTGAGATCAAGAGTGTACTTAACTACTAAGTCTAATAGGAAAGAGAAACCAACCAGTAGAGATCAATCTTGCTTTACTTTCCGATCAGGCATGAAGCTCAAAGTAGTATCTGTGGTTAGTCCATCTCGATCTATATGATGTTTGGTCTTATAAAACATACTTGTTTAATTGCTCCATTCTTTGTTTTTTTCAAGATCGAGTATGCTGAATATGTCTGTTGTTTCGTGCTATTGTGATATTTCGCAGTTCCGTAATACAATAGAAGAGACGGTTCATAAACATTTCTAACTGACTTTAGTTGCTTATTTATGGACAGGCAACAGTCTGATATCGTAAACAAAGAAAGATGATTGGGTCTGGGGGGAAACCACGATACTGGAGTAACGAAAAGTCTAGAACGGCTCATAGTTTTTACGTTGAGATTTGTGTTAGATTTGATCGTAGCACAACAACATTGTGCAGGAGCTGAGCCACCTAAACAGCGATATTCGTTACATCGGTATTTAAATGTTTATCCTAAGGAAAGAATGAGCAAGAAAAAGGTTTTTTACATGAACTTATCTTTTTTAGAAAAAATACAAGACTAAAGAAAAACTTTGTGGTACAAAGAAACCAAGGCCATTCAAAACCGCTTCGAATTCTGTTCGCCTGTCATTCACATCAGATGACAGCGGAGTAGAAAAAGGATTTAAAATCACATGGGAAGCAGTCGCAGAAAAACAAGGTCTTGTGATGAATTCATTTTTTGCAATTCATTACAAATAAAATTCAGTAAAGTTGCCAACAGAGTTTGCTTCCAATAAAATCTTTCGAAATATTTACCTTTAAACTCTTATTGCTAACTATCAAGTCAAAATTCTATAAAATTGCACATGGAATGATGTAGTGTGATGGGAGTTCACAGACAACCAATGTGTATGTGTATATGTATAAGAATGTGTATAAGATTTTTCGTGGTATTGTCATAGTATTGCTATATGGTCTATTGACTTTAAATTCAACCGAGTGTGATTTCGTGCATTTTTTCTGTTTTGATTCGATTTTTTCCCTCATCGAATAGAATGCGGTGGCACTTTTAATGGCACATCTGGAAACCTTACAAGTCCGAACTATCCAGGCACGTATCCCAACAAAGCGAAATGTGATTACACAATCATTGTCCCGTTTGGTTACACCATGGAATTGAAGCTAAACAACCTGGACATGGAGTTTGACTCGAATTGTGATTACGACTTTGTGGAGATTTTTGATGGGCCTACTGACAAGACACATCGTCTTGGTAAGTCTTTTGCAAAACGTATAATAAATGCAGTTGTGTTAACAGAACAGTGCTTGGGGTCTGTTGCACACCCTCTGATGTTGCAAAAAAGTACCATATTTACTCTCGCTCCCTCTCAAGGGTAGGAAATACAGTCGGTCCACTCATAAAGACGTATAGTTATTGTTATTCTTATTCCTAAACAGTAACATCTCCACAAAAAATCAAGGTTACTCCACTGAAAATCCACTTTTGTCACTTTAGAATGAGTATGAAAACATAGGGAGGATTCCCAAATATCCGAGGAATCCTCTTATGTACCCTCAACTTAATTATCTTTTAAAATCCTTTTAAAGCTTTAAGCTTCTTATATTGTTTAAAATAAGGGGCTGGTGCTAGCAAATCAGTATAAAAGCAGAACCTGATTAAAGGTATTTCATCATTATACCAATCAAATATTAAGATTCTTTGTTAAAATTATACTTGGTACCGTATTCGTAAATTGAAAAAGCTATATGAGACGTCACTGTAAGAGATTGTTATCAATTCTGCCATACTCACTTATTTTGAATCAAATGCCAGTTAAGATGAAAGAACGCTATTTTTTATATTGAATGTGCAATTTCGCTTAAACATTTGAGAATCATGAAATCACGCCACAAAAGTAGAAAGATGCGGCAGATTTCATGTCAATATGTCTTCACATTTGAGATCGAAAACATGGCGGTCATATGCTGAAATACCGCGAGAAGGCCTATGAAAGAGAAGAAATGAAAGTTTCATGCCCGAGTTTCATCTTACAAGCAATCGACAGATATGAGAGTAGCTTAAGCCATCTGTCAATCAAAATTAGCCAATCATTAAGCGTGTGAGTGGAATCTCATTCACTGATTGGTCAATTCTTCTGTCGATTGTCCTTAATCCTTTTTTCCGGGGAGGTTGCCAGAGCTCGAGAAAACGAAGGATGAACACTTTTCTTGCATCTAATAGGGTTGCTCTACAAACTTTGCTTGACTTGACATTTGGTTTTCAATGTTCTCTTAATTGAAAACATGAATCTGCCAAAATATCAACCCTAACTTGATTCAATATTAATCTTTTACTGATTCTGCTCCTTATAATTGCAGGGAAATTCTGCGGAAACAAAGTTCCAAAACGGCCATTAAAACCTTCAGGAAACAAAGTGCTCATCAAATTCAGGTCTGATGATTCTACAGGTGGGCGTGGCTTCAAGCTGGAATGGTCCGCCAAGAAACTTCAAGTCAAAGAAAGCGGTAAGTTTCACCTTCACCTTCTATTTAAGATGGCCTACGACCCAATAGGCAATCTGGCCCACGACCCAAAATCTAATCTTCAACATAATAGACCATTGATATGATATCCTATATGAAGGCTTCTGATACCAGAGACGTCAGAGCTGGGACGTGTAGCTGCAATCTTCAGAGTTACGTGACTGCCTACTTGAAATATTTGTTAAAAAACTTTTCCTTCTTTTCCACCACCGATGAAGTGTTCAACTTCCCTATAGCGTGTCAGTCTAACAGTAGATGCAAATTATCTGTTATAAGCCTAAATTAAAAAAATGCAGTAATAGACTTGTAAAGATTTAGCATTTTTTGCTTTAAATGTGCCTTTTCGAGTTTCAAAGCTCGTTTGTTGGTTAATAGCCAAGAAATAATTCTACAATTTTTTTGTCTTAGGCCCAAGAAAATGTGGTACATCTAAATACTCAAGTCGTATTGTTGGAGGAATACTCGCAAAGAAAGGGGCATTCCCGTGGCAAGCAGCTTTGCTTTGGAGAGTTGGCATCAGCAAGAATCAGCAATTCTGCGGAGGATCTTTGATCGATCGAGAATGGGTCATTACAGCTGCACATTGCTTTGTTAATGGTGACGACCCATCGTACTACAAAATTCGATTAGGTAAGTTAGTTGTACTTCTTTCATTTTCGTTCATTCATTCATTCATTCATTCATTTATTCATTTTATTCTTAACTCTTAACTGACCTTTAGAATTAGAATAAGAAAAAATGAAAGTTTCATCAATATTTTGAAAGAAACAGATTTGAAGTCTAAAGTAAAGATGATTTGCAACAAATATAAAATGAAGTTGAAATTAGATATGTTTTTGTTTGATGATTGGCTTGCCTTACTTACTTTGTCAATTCTGGGTTACAATCGAATATATTCCTTTCTAACCATATTGAAGTTCCCTCGCCCTAGGATCCGTGTGCATGTATGGTTTAATAGATTTACTAAGCTTGTTTTTTTTTCTAAACCAAAGATTTTAGGAGATATGTAGTTGGTTTGTTTGCTATATTTGCTGCATATATGGTCTTTTTTCAATTTTAATGTTTTGTACAGGAGAACATAATCTTAATGGTGATGATGACACCGAGCAAGAATTCAACGTCTCAGCCGTTATGATTCACGGAGGCTATGATCAGATCACTAATGACAACGACATTGCTTTGCTGAGATTGGCAACTAAGGCGACAATAAATGATCACGTGAACACTATTTGTCTCCCGAAGATTACCGATTTGATTTCAGCAGGTACTCGATGTAAGATTACTGGTTGGGGTGCAACTGGTGAGCATGCAAGCACTTCGAATATTCTTATGGAAGCTGAAGTGCCAATTATAAGCAGGTCAACTTGCTCTCACGAAATGGTATATGGCGACAAAATCACAGCCAATATGATGTGCGCTGGGTTTTCGCGTGGAGGCATCGACACCTGTCAGGGAGATTCAGGGGGGCCACTTCAATGTCGAAGCAAGGAAGATAGGTCTCAGTGGGTTTTGAATGGCGTGACCAGCTGGGGGAGGGGGTGTGGAAGAAAGATGAAATACGGTGTGTATGCAATTGTTAGGAATTACCTCATGTGGATAAAGATGATAACAAGTGTATCAAAACCAAAGCCAACCAAAGCACCGCTCAAATCAGAGCCTCCAAAAGGTCCTATGCCTCCTCTTCCTAATGGCAGGCCAATGCCACCCCTGCCAAACGGTAACCAAGGACCAGCACCACCTTTGCCGAACGGTAATCAAGGACCAGCGCCACCTTTGCCGAATGTTAACCAAGGACCATGAGGTTTAACTATAAGCATGTTGCTAGCAAAGTTCTTTACCAAATCGTATATACACTAACAAATGTAAAAGCTTGTTGCTTGTAACATCTTGAGAAACATCATTTTATTCATTTGAGAGCATCTAGTTGGTTGATGATTACACACTGTCTCTGGAAAGGAGATATGAGAACATGAAAAGTGTTTTTGTCAATATTTAGTGTTATACACCCTTGATATCGTATTAAAATGAACCAATTATTAAGTTTTATACAACTCTGAGTCAGTGGTGGCGCCAGGGGAGGGCTAGGGGGCTACAGCCCCTCCGTCGGAAGCATCCACCCCCATCGGAGGAAATTTTAGGTTATTGTCGGAGCAAATTTGACAAAATAACGTACGAAAACTACATATTTTAGTCATTTTAGCCCCCCTTGTCGGAAGCTCCAACCGTTTACAGTGGGATCCAACTGCAAAGTATATTTGACGCTATGGACAGTAGATTTACAATGGCCAATTACAAGCGCCCAAACAATGGCCAGAAGGCAAATGTACACAGAAATTTAATCATAGCGGACACCATAAAACTGTAACAGGCACCGTAGAGCAGGGCTGGGGGGGGGCTTTTTAAAAAAATGCCAAATATTAAGTATCAAACCACCAGAAAAGCCTCTTTTTATACGGTTTTACCCCCCACTTTTTTTAGACCCCTTACTTTTCTCAAGGCTCCGCAGTACCTGTGTAAGGACACGAAACTTAACAGAGTGACAGTGTCGGAATGAATTCATAAACAATGTTATTACTGGATATTGCTCCTCGCATGTTCTAGGCATGCATTTGCGTTATATGAAAAAAATTAATTTACAGCCACTGCAAATGACTCTGAAATGCTTTGAGATGGCTGTAGTATTTGTGTGAATGAATGCATTTTGGGGCGGTGTCGTCTTTGTTTATTTTAAACCCTACCACTCCATTATTTTCTGAAAGCCCCAAATTCATAATCTCTTCCCTTAATTTTTCGGCTGAATCAATTTGTCTTAAATGGAAAATAGCAGGGCCTTTTTAAAAGTACATTAAAAGCCCTAGGTTTTTATTTGCTTCAGACATCTACAACTGCCCCCTTTTGTAAAAATTAATAGCTTTACCAGCCCCACCCCCAGCTAATGTATCTTAGAAGTATGACAAATATTCGCACTGAAGTGAATGAAGATTCAGAAAACGGACAATATGTAGGGTTTGAGATTCTTATGTATGGCCTGGACTGATCATTTTTTGCTCATCACTGCTAACAAAACTGAGCAAAAATATAGTCCTACTTCTGACTAAGGCTATTATTGAGCTTGTGAAATAGTGGATGCATTCGCCGTTCATTGCTACTATTTCGAAGTAGCAGATTTTCAACTTTGATATGGTTACATGTCATGGCTGTCTTCGAGTGCTAATAATATATCCTTGTTGTCAACTCGATTAGACACATTTGGCAACAGATAACATTTGGCAACTTCTATTCTTAAAGTAATGATTACTTCTTTTACGATTTGATGACATACTGAAAACTGTGAAATTAAAATATCGACAAATTAAATTTAACGACTCGAAAAAAAAATCGTCAAAGAATTTTTTAGATTTATTCTATCCCGCCACTGTATTTCGTACGACCTCGGTTTGATATTTCAGATCAAAACAAAATGGCGGGAATGACAATGTTAAGAAGATCAACTCTCACTGACAATACAATGGTTTGTTTCAATTCTCACCTACTAAGATTCCTGTATTTTCAATTAAGCTTCATAGTGACATCTACAGGTATCTGTTTCAATGAATTTTGATGCAAGCTTGTAGGTAGGACCTGCATATATATTAATTCAAAGCCCGCCACCAAACACAAGGATTCGAAAATATACTTGATGACTTGTATTCATCCTTATACTCGAAGTTTTCGAAGTCTCGAAGCCTTTCAGAACAGCTTTATCTACCAACAACATTATTCACAGGTCTGCTAGTTTTACGACATCAAGCACTTTATACAACAAAAGACCAGTGACAATGTCGTAGGCTACACGTAGCTGATAATATGTAAAGTAACGTTTTTGAAGGGGCCAAAACGAGCAAAAGCGACAAGATAACTTTAATTTTACTATCAACATTCAAAGTACTTTAATTCTACTGTCAAAATGCAAGAAAATATTCTTGGGAAGGAGTTTCCATCAATCAATGCCCCCACCACATTTTTGCAAGAGTGAGAAACTGTAAAAAAACCCAAATGACTTGAATTCAACTTTCCTTAATTTAAGGATCTGGCACAAAATGGAACTCTAAGTTCTTCTAATCTGTGACCACTTTTCTAGGGCCGCTTTTAACTGTTAAACCATGCAAAGTTTGGTGTCAAAACAAATTAACTAAAAAGTTTTAAAAAAGAATAAACCAAAGGCTATTTAGATATGACATAATATTTGGCTTTTTCTCTTGAATCTTGCCTTGTCACTGTAATTTAAAAACAGATGTATTTTAAACCGATGCTAACGATCTTTTAAATTCAAGGTTGTCATATGTTTTCAATTGTTATTTATTGTTAGCCAGAACTGTTTATCCAATGGTTCTTCAGATTTTGAAGAAAATTGTGAAAATATTTATTAAAACTGTTTATTTTACTTAATTTTTTGTGAAATTTTGGACCAGAAAGAAATAGCTTTTATAATTAGTGAATACTGAAACACCATAATCAATTCTTGATGATCATTAAAGAAGATTTCACTAATGTTTTCCTCTTCATTTAAATTTCAATGTCTTATATTGCAAAAGTATTGTTTGAAATTTGGATGTTAACTTTGATGATTAGAGATAGAAATTATAAAATTGACATAATTGGCTGAAATCAAAAGCAGGAGATATTAACAGCTAGGACATTCCAGTAATGACCTTTTAGGAAAAGAACATTATTTCATAATTCAAAATGCCTACCAAATCAATTGATTTTAAAGAATGAAAAAATTTCATTGAATTACTGGCTCTGTCTTCTGTTATGATTTCTAGGCACAAACGTTGTGGTTGTTTCCTTGATCACAATTATGCATTATCGTATATTCTGCTTTCAATTAGCAGGGCTCAAAAAGGCTGAAAATATCAATGCAATTTATGTTTTAGCGCTTTGAGAGATTTGAATTTGCTGATTTGTTGGTATGAGAAACAACTTAAGAAGATGAGACTGTCAAATAATGAGCAAGGCAGACCACAATAAGAAAATGAAGCTAAACAAGGTAATCTATGTGAGCTAATTATTCGAACATTATTTAATTCTGTTCAATCCTTCACAGCATATTTCTACCATCAGAGATTTTGATTCAAAGCTGCAATTTTTATTTTTTATCAGGAAATATCTAAGGCTTTCTAAGGTTTTGTTCACATTTTCACGCAATAGCCTTTCAAAGGCTGCCACAATCATGCTGCTTTTGCTTGTTGGTTATGTGAACCAAAAAATCTGTTCATATTACAAAATATGACCAATTTTTTTCATGGTGGCAAACATTATTTGAAGTCTCTGCCTAACTTCTCTCTACTTCACTCTAATGTATGTATGATTGACTTTAAATTCTTTCTTGTTTTTTAATTCTCTCAAATTTTGTTTGTTAATCTCTCTGTCAAAAAAATCTCCATCTTATTTCACAATAAATCATACACTTTGTACATTATATAAGGAAGACCATACTTGACTTAAGTCTATTATATTTTACATGTTTCCTCCTAGTCTGCCTGTATTTGATTGGCTTTCATTTTTTTCATTTTTTAGTTCATTTTGTTCACCTCTCCATTCAAGAAACCCTCTCCCTATCTCACAAAAAATCATACAATTTTTAAGTAGATTGATAGAAGCAATATTTGATTTTATTTTAATATACTTTACATATTTATTTGCACTTTACTTGTCTTTGAATAGGCTTTACTTTTTCTTTAATTTTAAGAATACTTTGTTAACCTCTCTGTCCAAGAGAACCTTTTTTGTCGTACAATAAATCACAAAGTTTTTAAGTAAATTGAAGAAGGCCATGGTTGATTTTTTTCTAATAGATTATCCAGGTTTATTTGAACCCTGCTTGTCTCTGGGTGGGCTTTACCTTTTCTTTATTTTCTAGTCTACTTTGTTAACCTCCCTGTCCAAGAAACCCCCTTTTTTGTCGTACAATAAATCACAAACTTTTTAAGTAAATTGAAAAAGGCCATGCTTGATTTTTTTCTAATAGAATTTCCACTTTTATTGCCACCTTGTTTGTCTCTGGATGGGCTTTACTTTTTCTTTATTTTCTAGTCTACTTTGTTAACCTCTCTGTCCAAGAAACCACCTTTTTGTCGTACAATAAATCACAAAGTTTTTAAGTAAGTTGAAAAAGGCCATGCTTGATTTTTTTCTAATAGAATTTCCACTTTTATTGGCACCTTGTTTGTCTCTGGATGGGCTTTACTTTTTCTTTATTTTCTAGTCTACTTTGTTAACCTCTCTGTCCAAGAAACCCCCTTTTTTGTCGTACAATAAATCACAAAGTTTTTTAGTAAATTGAAAAAGGCCATGCTTGATTTTTTTCTAATAGAATTTCCACTTTTATTGGCACCTTGTTTGTCTCTGAATGGGCTTTACTTTTTCTTTATTTTCTAGTCTACTTTGTTAACCTCTTTGTCCAAGAAACCCCCTCTTTGTCGAACAATAAATCACAAAGTTTTTAAGTAAATTGAAAAAGGCCATGCTTGATTTTATTTTCTAACAGATTTTCCACGTTTATTCGCACCTTGTTTGTCTCTGGATGGGCTTTACTTTTTCTTTTTTTTCTAGACTACTTTGTTAACCTCTCTGTCCAAGAAACCACCTTTTTGTCGTACAATTGATCACAAAGTTTTTAAGTAAATTGAAGAAGGCTATGCTTGATTTATTTCTAATAGATTTTCCACGTTTATTTGCACCTTGTTTGTCTCTGGATGGGCTTTACTTTTTCTTTTTTTTTAGAATACTTTCTTAACCTCTCTGTCCAAGAAACCCTCTTTTTTGTCGTACAATAAATCGCAAAGTTTTTAAGTAAATTGAAGAAGGCCAGGCTTGATTTTTTTCTAATAGACTTTCCACGTTTATTTTCATTCTGCTTGTCTCTGGATTGGCTTTACTTTTTCTTTATTTTGTAGACTACTTTGTTAACCTCTCTGTCCAAGAAACCCCCTCT